GAACATCAACAAGTCGCTTTCTGCTCTTGGAAATGTCATTTCTGCTTTGGCTGAGGGTAGTGTGAGTATATATGTCTTGTCCTTTCCTGTTGTTATCTTGTGGGGAATTACTTAAATACAGATGTGTGGATATGTATGCATGGATGTGTGAGAGAGTGAGTGAGGGAGAGAGATTGACTACATTTAAATCAGTATGTGTGAATTAGTTGTCTTTTAGAAAATTTATAGTGTTAGTGTATATGTTGTAGTTCCCATTTTAATATAAGTAGTTAAAGTAACTGAAATCACTTTGTAATTTATTTAAAGTAGTATATATAATATGCTTTATTATTTAGAAATCCATTGGTCTTCTGTGCTTTTCTGTTTGTTTTTGTATGTAGACGTATGTTCCCTATCGAGATAGTAAAATGACAAGAATCCTTCAAGATTCATTAGGTGGGAACTGTAGAACCACTATTGTAATTTGCTGCTCCCCATCATCGTACAATGAATCTGAAACAAAATCTACGCTCCTGTTTGGTCAAAGGTTTGTTTTTAAAAAAATGCGAAGTCTAAAACAGGCCTTTTGTTTATTAAGTTTAGGAAAATATCAGTTAGATATTATTCAAATTAGTGCATATTGTTAGTGCACTAATACAGCTTTTTAATTGAGAGATAAAGCAAGGTCCATTTTTTAGGCTGCTTGGGTTTGAATTATGTTTATTGCACGTTAAAGTCAAATGTTAACTTTAGTCACATTTATATGAGAAGCTTTAATTCAGCATTAAAGAAAAGAAACATTTGAATGAGATAATAAAGTCCTGACAAATAGAATCCTATGTTAAGCCTGGTGACATTTGTGACAGCTTCAAATAGTGAGATAACCATATATGAGATGGTTAGCCTAGGAAAATCAATAACGATAACTTTTAGACCTTCAACAATAATTTTTTTTCTTAGTTTGGCCTTCCAAATGAATTGGAAAAATATAGGCCCCTGTTTTTTACCTCATCAGGTTGTTGATTTTTTTTTAAGCTATTCACAGATGTAGGGGCTGACCCAAACCTATTTGGGTTGTGAATAAGCACTAAGCCAGTTATAACTTAGTATTTAGTCAGATAACTGGACAGGAATAAATTACGTAACCATATAAACATAGATTACATAGGGATATAAATACCAGTTGAAAATCATTTCAGTCACATTCTTTTTTCCTCCAATTACTTACTTCTCTTAGGGCCAAAACAATTAAGAACACAGTTTGTGTCAATGTAGAGTTGACTGCAGAACAGTGGAAAAAGAAGTATGAAAGAGAAAAAGAAAAAAATAAGACCTTGCGGAATACCATTCAGTGGCTTGAAAATGAACTCAACAGATGGCGTAATGGTAATAACTTGAGTTTGTCATTTTCAGATTGTTGAATACAGATTTAGAGCTGTTTTATAAATTTGACATTCTCATGTGAGTATAAATAAGAAAAATAGATCATATTCATTTTCACTTTTTAGGCATTAGGGATTGTCAAATAAAAATGAATGAAATGTTTTACTTGAAGTTTTGATTTTACCTGAAATATTAAATAGGCACAAAGGCCAACTGGGAAGCCATAGCAGTCACAAGATGGCAAGGTGCCTAGATTAGAGTGGAAGCAATAGAAATTACAAGATTGGTGATTGAACTTAGAAGATGGGGTAGAGTCAGAGGTAATTCTAGCTTTTCAAATCTCAGGGACTGAGCTGATGAGTTGGTAAGAGTTGCTGAAATTGAATCAAAGTTAGAGTAGTTTTACAGGTGAGTTTTTATTAACCATTCTATTGTCTTATTTTAGGAGAGACAGTGCCTATTGATGAACAGTTTGACAAAGAGAAAGCCAACTTGGAAGCTTTCACAGTGGATAAGGATATTACTATTACCAATGATAAACCTGCAGCCACGATTGGAGTTACTGGAAACTTTACTGATGCTGAAAGAAGAAAGTGTGAAGAAGAAATTGCTAAATTGTACAAACAACTTGATGACAAGGTTGGTATTGTTCATGTTCTATTTTGTTTTAGAATATTTTTGACATGGGTATTTTTATTTACTAATTTCCATATTATGAGTTCTTGTGACCTATATACAGCTCCCTTGATATCTCTTAACCTATTGAAAATCATTACTTCCTTGATTTCTCTTTACCTTTTGAAAATCATTGTATTAGCAGAACATGTAGAATTAGAATTTTCATCTCTGTAGAAACTATGTAGGAGGCATATCCCTCTGCCCCCCTTTTTTTCCGTCTTAAAGAACTTCCTAAAGGACATTTGGTATTGGGTCTTCAGAAAGCCTTAATGAACTGGCCTCTTAGAATCAGGGATATGAGAACTCTAATAAAAGATAAGGCAAGAGATTAGATCGAGGGAACAGAATAGAGTGGAAATAGTATCTTCTGCTTTGATTATGTCAGTCTGTAGTGTGAAAAATGACAAATTATGAACTAAATAGAGAGGAAGGGAAAAAAGAGCAGGACGGGCCTGGTGGCAAAGTGGTTACGTTTGCGTGCTCCACTTCAGCGCCTTGGGGTTCGCAGGTTCAGATCCTGGGCACAGAGCTAGCACTGCTCATCAGGCCACGCTGTGGCGGCATCTCATAAGATAGAGGAAGATTGGCACACATGTTAGCTCAGCAACAGTCTTCCTCAGGAAAAAAAAAAAGACTGGAAGAAAATAGTTCTGGTTTTGTTTTTGTCCTTTGTTTTTAGGTGGTATTTTTTATGTATTTTAAGCAAAGATGGCAGGTTTGACGTGGCTGCATGGCCATTATTTTCAATAATAGCTTTAAACATTATTTCTTAGCATTTAAAATATTTAATGACTAGCTTTCATGAACATAAACTTTGTTTCTTATTGGATGATAAATGTTACAATTGATAATTGAAAGAAATTCCATCTGTTTTCAACATTTTCTTAAGAAACAAGATCATAATAAGCTATGTTGAACTTGGAGAAACAGTTTTGAAATATTGGGGGTGGGTAGTTATCTTAAAATTTGTGTTAGGAAACAGAACCAGGTTGTGAGCTACTTGGTTAACATGTTACTTTAAAATTCTAGGATGAAGAAATTAATCAACAGAGCCAGTTGGTAGAGAAACTGAAGACACAAATGTTGGATCAGGAAGAGGTAAATTGAATACCTTTCATATTCCTTCCGGAAAAGCTTTATAGTTTGTCATTAGCATTTAAACATAAAAGATGAAGGAATCCACATAGCTCAGAATATACTAGAGTACTTTTTAAAAATTTTTGAATATGTCCATGCTTTACTATGGATGTCTTGTGACACTGATATATGCATTGAAGGAAAGATTGACTTCCTCTTAAGATTTTGGGTTTTTTAAAGTTTGAATTCTGTCTAACTAGAGTGGAGGGGATCACTTTTTAGTATTTATTCCTTAACACACATCTGTTGGACTTTTTAACACTGTCTTCTACTTCCCCTGCTTGAAGTACAGTGCTATTTTATCTCCTTATTCTCCTTAAAACATTTTTTATTGGCCCTTGGGAAAGACTTATACTGAGCTGGAGTAACCTTAGACTCCCCCTCCCTTAATGAGAAGTATTTCCACATGGAAATGAGGGAAAGGACATAAAAAGCACATGTTTTATTCTCCTTCATTTACTTAAACACACTAAAGGGTCTGAAGGGATTATTAAAGAGAAAATATTGGTTTCTGAATTGCATGACTTTATCTTTAATAATTGTATAATTTTGAGTATGGCTAACTGTGGGAATGAGAATGTCAGTGAATAGAATCATTTTTTACTCCTTCACCATTTCTACCCTCTTCTAACCTGTTGTTCATTTCTGCCATCTTTACATTCATCTTAGTTCTTCCAAGTTTCTCCTCTCTAGTTTGTCACCTAGTTTGGTCCTTCATTTTATCTCACCTGGTAGAGCAGGGGGATGATTGAAAAATGGTCTTTCCTTTAAGGTTTGTTTTGGGGATGGGCCAAAGACTGTATAGCTTCAATAAGAAAGAGTTATCCAGGGGCTGGCCTGGTGACGTAGTGGTTAAGCTTGTGCACTCCACTTCAGCCCAGGGTTGTCAGATTCCGATCCCAGGCCCGGACGTAGTACCACTCGTCAAGCCTTGCTGTGGCAACATTCCACATAAAATAGAGGAAGATTGGCACAGATGTTAGCTCAGCAACAATCTTCCTCACAAAGAAAACAAAAAAGAGAGATCTATCATCAGTCAAATTAGTCCTGGTCATATCATCTTTATCCTTATTCCAACTATAACATTGTTTCTCAAAGGGTACTAGTAGCGTTTGCATAATTCTTCATTATATTGTTCTGTCCTGTGCTTGGAGGACATTTAGCATCCCTGGCCCCTACTTCTAAGTGCCATTAATGTTCTGCCCGATTATTAATACTCGCACATCTTTTCAGATGCCCCAACTTAAGAGTTACTGTCCCTGAATGATTGCAGTATCCTCCTAACTAGTCTCTTGGCTTCTCTAGCTAAAATTTTATATGCTGATACCAAGTTTTCCTGAGCATAGCTCAAATGCCATCCCATCCTGACCAAAGAAAATCTTAACGTTTTTGTGTAGGGTGGGGGGGGGTGAGGCAGATTCCCCCTGAGCTAACATCTGTTCCAGTCTTCCTCTTTTTGTATGTGAGCCACTGCCACAGCTTGACCACTGATGAGTGGTATAGTTCTGTGCCTGGGAACTGAACCCAGGCTACCAAAGCAGAGCATGCCGAACTTAACCACTAGGCCAAGAAAATCTAAACTTTTAAGCATATCTTCTAAACATGTACTAATTTCTTTTTCTATGCACACTGTTTATGAACCTAGAATGCCTTTATCTTTCTGTTAACATTAATTTGCAGATGACTAAAATCTATCTATCCTAGCCACCTTCTCCATAAATACCCTACAAAAGTATCCCCCTATACTACCAAACACTTTGTCTATGTCCTGTCCCTCCTTTATGGCTCTTATATTCATTCCATCTTGTAATTTGTTTATGTACCTGTCTGTCTTCTGTTCGATTCCTCAAAGGCAAAGGCGTTACTTGATTTCCTTTGTCTCCCGCAGTGCCTGTACATAGTAGGCATTCAGTGAATCTGTTGAATTAATGTTAACCACACTTACTGGCGTCCGCATTTAATTCCCTTTGTGTTTAGCAAATGGTAAAGCAATTAGACTTTTTGAAACCTGTATACTTTTGGCAAAAATGGGTGTTTTACTCTTTTCGTGTAGCTTCTGGCATCTACTAGAAGGGATCAAGATAATATGCAAGCTGAGCTGAATCGCCTGCAGGCAGAAAATGATGCCTCCAAAGAAGAAGTGAAAGAAGTTTTACAAGCCTTAGAGGAACTTGCTGTCAATTATGATCAGAAGTCTCAGGAAGTTGAAGACAAAACTAAGGAATATGAATTGCTTAGTGATGAACTGAATCAAAAATCAGTAGGATATAGTTTTGTTTTCCTTCTTAAGGCTTTAGTACAAGCATTCATCATTGAAAAATTACTGAAGTATACAGAAAGTAGATAAAACATGCCAACCATCTAGAAAACTGTCAGTTTTATTCTAACATTAATTTGTTCAGATTCAGTTTCCAAAAATAACCCATACTCTGGTAATAAGCAAAAATCACATCTGATTAATTTGGAAGTTACCCATTTCTAGACAGAAAGTATTACCCAATCTCAAAGATTAGGGAAATAATAAAAACTACCCGCTCTTAATAGAGTACGATACGGCTACTTAACATAGTCTGTCAAGTCTAAAATACTTTTTAAAGTTTGAGCTGGGAGCTATCCCAGAACTCAGTAGAAGTTTGAGAAAATGAAAGCAGAAAATAATGGTTTTGCGACTTCTAGATGAAAACTTGAAATACCTGTCAATATTTAATTTGTTCATTTAATAGATTTAACTGTACCTTTTGTTTTTGGTTCTATTAGGCAACTTTAGCAAGTATAGATGCTGAGCTTCAGAAACTTAAGGAAATGACCAACCACCAGAAAAAACGAGCAGCAGAGATGATGGCATCTTTACTAAAAGACCTTGCAGAAATAGGAATTGCTGTAGGAAATAATGATGTAAAGGTAAATATAATACCCCAAATATTATGACGTGTACATAACTCATACTTTTGTTTACTGTTTATTTTTTACAAAGTCCTTTTCATACCCATTATCTCATCATCACAATAATCATGTGTAGTAGATAGTATTAACTTCATTTTAACTAGATGAGAGAAAGAGGAGAATAAGGGGTACTCAATAGACATAGTAAGTAGCATTTATTTGGACCCCATGTTTCGTTCTTTACTGCGTAAAGATTTTACAGTTAGAAACTATGTTAATAAATTTCCATACATAAAAGTATGTAATTGAAACAACAGTGAAGATTAGTTCTGTGGGTAAACTCATAAATGAATTGGCCTGTAGTTGCTTTAAATGTTTAAAAAGACAAAAGATGAGTGCTGCTAATTAATTCTTTTTTAAAATTTTATTATGAAAAAATTCAAATATATGGCATTAGAGGGAATAGTATCATGACACCTCAGAGGAAGCAGTTATCAAAATTTTGCCACCCTTATTTTATCTGTGATTTTTTTCTAATAATCTTTTCCGGGATACTAATACTGGTTATAGGCAGTATTAGGCACTAGTATCAGCCCCTAGGCACATGGTAAAAAATTTTAAGGACCTGGTAGATTTTAAAACTTACACCAACAAAGCAAGCTAACACTCTCAACTGCAAAAACATGCACGTAACATGAAAGATTTGTATGTTGCAGTAGGTATTTGGACCTTACCTTTTTGATTAAAGCCTAATTATAGTAACAAAGAGAACAAACTTATACTTGGGTTTATAGTGAGAGCCTCCTAAGAAGCCCGGTTTATCAGGAACTAGAAATGAAATAAAAATTTTCAATATGGAGTGCACATTCCTTCTGTCAGTTGTTATTCAGAGCTGCTGTTTGTTGATGGAGGCAAGGATTCTTGTAACCATTCTCCAAATATTGTCATTTCTTACTGTTGGCTCTTTGTTGAAACAAAGTAAAGCTATTATTGTTAAGTACTGGGTGACCTCTTAACCATCAGTAGGAACAGTCTGCCCTGTCCCTGTTTATGGTGAAGTCATGTGAGATGTTAGAGCCATATAGGAATTTTCTGGGTGGAAAAGTAGATTTACTTCGTATCACTGAACACTAGAAAAGTGGTGGTCAAAATTTGCTTTGTAGATTTGCAAGTTCTTTTTAGAAAAATCTTTCCGTTTCATGTTCAAATAATCTTAAGTGAAAACGTGGTGAAGATGGAGAAAATAAAGAGTGCAGAAATGGCTTATGTTTAGTGGCAGAGTAGGTTCCCTGACTCCTAGACTGCTTTTTTCAGTACACCATTATAACATTTTGAAAACAAGTCAGCCTTGCAAATAGTTTCTTTTTTTAAAAAAATAAATCTATGGATTCCTCAATATTTTGGTTGTTTTCACATAATTCTTTTCCTGTTAGATCATCAGTAAGCACTGCTTGAGCTCCACTTAAATTGTTTTGTGTTTTTTCATTACAGTTCATTCTTTGTGTTGTACAGTTCTGTGGATTTGACAAATGCGTAATATAGATCCACCAGTACATAGAGTACTTCCACTGCCCTAATGAAGCCTTTGTGCTTTATCTGTTCATCCCTCTCCCCTGAACCCTTAGCAACCACTGATCATTTACTGTTTCTGCAGTTTTGCCTTTTCCAAAATGTTATAAAGTTGAAATAATATAGTATATAGCCTTTTCAGACTGACTTCTTTCACTTAGCAAATATGCATTTAAGGTTCTTTTAAATCACTGAATAATATTCCATTGGATGGATGTACCACTTTGTTTATCCATTCACCTATTGAAGGATGTCTTGGTTCTTTCTGAGTTTTGACAATTACATACATTCATGTGCAGGCTTTTCTGTGAACATAAATTTTCAATTCAATTGGGTAAAAATATGTAGAAGCATCGTTGTTAGATTCTATGTTAAGACTATATTAACTTTATAAGAAACTGTCTTCCAAAGTGGCTGTAGCATTTTGCATTCCCATCAGCACTGAATGAGAGTTCCTGTTACTTCACATCCTCACCAGTATTTGGTGTCATCAGTTTCCTGGATTGAGCCATTCTAATAGATATGTACAGTGTCTCTTGCAGAGCAGAAGTTTTTAATTTTAACCCAAGTCCAATGTATCCATTTTTTCTTTCATGGAGTGTGTTTTTGGTGTATCTAAAAACTCATCTCCAAAACCAAGGTCATCTAGATTGTCTCCGGTTATCTTCTATGAAGTTTTTAGTTTTCATTTATATTTAGGTCTATGATCCATTTGGAGTTAATTTTTCTGAAAGGTATAAAGTCTCAGGATTCATTGTTCTACATGTGGATGGCCAGTTGTTCCAGCACAATTTGTTTAAAAGACTATTCTTTCTCCATTGAATTGCTTTTGCCACTTTGTCAGAGATAAATTGATTGTATCTGTGTGTTTCTATTTCTGGGCACTCTATTCTGTTCCAGTGACCTTTTTGTCTTTTCTTCTGCCAATACTATACCATCTTGATTATTGTAGCTTTATAATAAGTTTTGAAGTTGGGTTGTGTCAGTCTGCCAACTTTGCTCTTCTTCAGTACTGTGTTGGCTCTTCAGGGTCTTTTGCCTTCCTGTATAAACTTTAGAATTGTCTATATTCCCAAAATAACTTGCTGGGATTTTGATTGAGATTATATTAAATCTATAGATCAAGTTGGGAAGAACTGACGCGTTACCAATATTGAGTCTTCCTATCCATGAATATGAAATATCTCCATTTATTTAGTTTTTCATGGATTTCTTTCATCAGTGTTTTAATGTTTCTTTATATAAATCTTATACGTATCTCTTACATTTATATCTAAGTACGTTTTTTTCTTTTTGGCATTAATATAATTGTCACTGTCTTTTTAATTTCAAATTCCACTTGTTCGAGCTGATATATAAGAAAGTGGTTGACTTTTGTGTGTTAACCTGGTATCCTGCAGTGTTACTATAATGGATTATTAGTTCCAGGAGTTTTTTTTAACAATCATGTCATCTGCAAACAGTTTTATTTCCTCCTTCTCAAACTCCGCTTAATTTTGACAGTGATTCTTATACTGGAATTTTATAATGAAACCCAAAAGTTAGGAATGTACAGTGATCACAGTTCTCCTTGATGGGCTTCAAAGTCATTCTTTCCCTGACACCTAAAACATCATTATTTGTTTAGTTTTTTTTTTAATATTTTCTTTTTTTTTTTTTAAAGATTTTATTTTTGTCCTTTTTCTCCCCAAAGCCCCCCGGTACATAGTTGTATATTCTTTGTTGGGGGTCCTTCTAGTTGTGGCATGTGGGACGCCACCTCAGCATGGTTTGATGAGCAGCACCATGTCCGCGCCCAGGATTCGAACCAACAAAACACTGGGCCGCCTGCAGCGGAGCGCGCGAACTTAACCACTCGGCCACGGGGCTGGCCCCATGTTTAGTTTTAAACTAGACTTACACATGATTAACAATGAACTTACTGAAGAAGGCCTATGAAAAGGAGATCCTTTTTTTTAGGTTTACGTTCTTTTGCCTTTCCTTGTAGGTGTGTGTTAACTTCTAGAAAGGAAGGAAGGTAAAAATTAAGGTCTATTTTACTTGCCCTTTATTAAAAACAATGTTTAGTAAAAAATTCCAGACTTCCTATGAATATTGAGTATGTATTTAATTTTGTTATAAGATTTTAGAGTCTTAATTGGGTAAACACACACTGAACATTTTTCTCTTGAATTATTACTATGATTTATTACTTTTTTTTTGGTGAGGAAGATGGTCACCAAGCTAACATCTGTGCCAGTCTTCCTCTGTTTTGTGTATGGGATGCTGCCACTGAATGGCTTGATAAGTGGTAGGTAAGTCTGCGCCTAGGATCCAAACCTGCGAACCCCAGGCCACTGAAGTGGGCTGCACGAACTTAACCACTATGCCACCAGGCCAACCCCAATCTTGAATTTTTTTATTTCACTTTTTTTTACAGCAGCCCGAGGGAACTGGCATGATAGATGAAGAGTTCACTGTTGCAAGGCTCTACATTAGCAAAATGAAGTCAGAAGTAAAAACAATGGTAAAACGCTGCAAACAGTTAGAAAGCACACAGACTGAGAGCAACAAAAAGATGGAAGAAAATGAAAAGGAGTTAGCAGCCTGCCAGCT